CCTTCTATGTGCAAGTGTAAACACAATTTATCAGTATTTAAACTATCTAAAATTTAAATACAGTGAAAGTTGCGCTTAGGGGTAAATTTATAGCATTGACTGCATGTATTAAAAAAAAGAAGGAAGATTTAAAGCCAATAATCTCAGTTTCTACCTTAAGAAACTAAAAAAAAAAGAGGAAATTAAAATCAAAATAAGTACATCAGGGAAATACAAATCAAAACCACAATGAGATACCACCTCACAACAGTCAGAATGGCTAAAATTAACAAGTCAGGAAATGACAGATGCTGGCCAGGATGCAGAGAAAGGGGAACCCTCCTACACTGTTGGTGGGAATGCAAGCTGGTGCAACCACTCTGGAAAACAGCATGGAGGTTCCTCAAAATGTTGAAAATAGAACTACCCTATGACCCAGCAATTGCACTGCTGGGTATTTACCCTAAAGATACAACGTAGTGATCCGAAGGGGCATGTGCACCCGAATGTTTATAGCAGCAATGTCTACAATAGCCAAACTATGGAAAGAACCTAGATGTCCATCAACAGACGAATGGATAAAGAAGATGTGGTATATATATACAATGGAATACTATGCAGCCATCAAAAGAAATGAAATCTTGCCATTTGCGACGACGTGGATGGAACTAGAGGGTATCACGCTTAGCGAAATAAGTCAATCGGAGAAAGACAACTATCATATGATCTCCCTGATATGAGGGAGAGGAGATGCAACATGGGGGGTTAAGGGGGTAGGAGAAGAGTAAATGAAGCAAGATGGGATTGGGAGGGAGATAAAACATAAGTGACTCTTAATCTCACAAAACAAACTGAGGGATGCTGGGGGGAGGGGGGTTGGGGGGGTGTGGTTATGGACATTGGGGAGGGTATGTGCTATGGTGAGTACTGTGAAGTGTGTAAACCTGGCGATTCACAGACCTGTACCCCTGGGGAAAAAAATATATGTTTATAAAAAATAAAATTTAAAAAATAAATAAATAAAAAAAATATATAAATATAAAAAAATCAAAATAAGTAGAAAAAAAGAACAAGAATTTAGACCATATCATAACATTATGTCAACAATACTTTAATAAAAAAGAATTAGTGGATAAACCAGTAAAATTGGAAACAGAAAAAAAAAACAACAGAAAAATTGGTAAAATATTTGTTCTCTGAACAGATCAATAAATCATTAAGCCTTTAGACAGCTTACTAAGAAAAATAGAGAAGACACAAATTATCAGTATCAGAAATGAAAGAGGGGACTTGACTACAGAGCCCATGGAAATTAAAAGGTTAATAAAGGAATATTATGGTTCACTCTATGCTCACATATGATGACCTAGATGAAATGGGCCAGTTTCTTTAAAGACACAATCTGCCAAAATTCACATACAAAAAGTACACAATCTGAATGGGTCTGTATCTATTAAAGAAACTGAATCATTAATTAATAACTTTCCAAAAGAAAAAACACCAGGCCCAGATAGGTACACTGATGGTTTCTACCAAGCAGAGAAATTGTGCCACTTTCCTATAATGTCTTTCAGAGTACAGAAGTGGAGGGGAAACATACTAACTCATTCTATGAGGCCAGCACTACACTATTATTAAAATCATACAAAGGCACTACAAGAAAACAAAAAACAAAAAACTACAGACCGATATCTGTCATGAACATACACACAAAATTTTTTAACAAAATATTGGGAAATAGAATCTAACAATGTATAAAAAGGATTATATATCACAACCAATTGGGATCTATCTTAAGTATGCAGGCCATTTCAATATTTGAAAATCAACTAATGTGATCCATCATATCAACAGGCTGAAAAGGAAAAATCATATGATCATATTAATAGATGCATAAAAAGCATCTGACAAAATTCAATATCCATTCATGATAAAAACTAAGTAAACTAGCAATAAAGTTGAACTTACTCAACTTGATAAAGAATAGTTATAAAACACCTACAGTTAACATACTTAATGGTAAGAAACTAGAAGCTTTCCTACTAAGATCAGGAAAAAGGCACCTGTTTACTCCTTTTCAACATTATACTGGAAGTACTAGCGAATACAGTGTGGTATAAAAAGAACAAAAATGGTACATAGACTCAGGAGGAATAAAGAAAACTCTTTTGTTCTCAGATGACATAGTTAGATGACAGAGACATGTAAAAATTTCAAACAAATCAACAATAACAACAAAAACAAATCCTGGAACCAATAAATAATTACAACAGGATTTTTGAAGATGGAAGGTTAATATATACAAGTTATTGCTTTCTTTCAGCAATGAACAATGGAATTTGAAAGTAAAAACACAATACCATTTACATTAGTACCACAAAGATCTAATTACTTAGGTATAAATCTAAAGAAAACATGTACAATATCTATATGAGGACAACTATAAAATTCTATTTAATGAGGTCAAAGAACTAAATAAGTGGAGAGAGATTTCATGTTCATGGATAGGAAAACGATATTGTCGAGATGTCAGTTCTTCTCAACTTGATCTACAGATTTGTGCAATGCCAATCAAAATTTCAAGTTATTTTGTGGATACTGACAAAGATTATGGAGAAGAAAAAGACACAGAATAGTGAACACGATTTTGAAGGAGGATAACATATTTGGAAGACTGATGCTACCTGACTTCAAGACTTAATAAATAACTACAGTAGTGGAATTAGTGAATAAGTACGCAAGTAGAAAAATGGAACAGTATGGTGAGCCTAGAAATAGACCCACATAAATATCTACTTGACTTATGAAAGCCAGGTAATCTTTTGCAGACAATCAAAGGTCAAACAATGGAGCAAAAACCGTTTTTAAACACATGATGCTGGAACAACTGGACATCCACATGCAAAAGCTATCTAAATAAATCTAGACACAGTCCTTACACCCTTCATGAAAATTAGCTAAAAATAGATCAAGACCTAAATGTAAAATGAAAAACTATGTAACTCTTAAAAGACAAAATAAGAGAAAATTTATATGACCTTGGGTATGAGGATGCTTTTTAAAATATAATACCAGGCTGAGCCTGGTGGTGGGTATTAAGGAGGGCACGTATTGCAAGGAGCACTGGGTGTTGCACATAAACACTGAATCTTGGAACACTGCATCAAAAACGAATGATGTATTTTATGGTGACTAACAAGACAATAAAAAAAGATTAAAAAATTTAAAAAATAAATTTAAAAAATAAATAAAACACCAAGAATACAGTCCATGAAAAAAATTGATAACTTGGACTTGCTTAAAATTAAAAACTTCTGCTCTGTGAAAGACAATGTCAAAAGAAATGAGAGTTATGGATATTGGGGAGGGTATGTGCTATGGTGAGTGCTGTGAAGTGTGTAAGCCTGGCGATTCACAGACCTGTACCACTAGGGCTAATAATACATTATGTGTTTATAAAAAAATAAAAATATTTTTAAGAAAAGAAAGGAGAAAACAAGCAACAGACTGAAAAAAATGTTTGCAACAGACACATCTGATAAAGAACTGTTATTCAAAAATATATAAAGAATTCTTAAAACTTAACAATAAGAAAACAAACAGCTGAAAGGCCTTAACAGATACCTCACCAAACAAGATATATAGATGACAAATAAGCACATGAAAAGATGCTATACATCATACGTCAGGAAAATGCAAATAAAAAAAAATGAGCAACCACTATCTACTATCCTACTAGAATGGCCATTATTCAGAATACTGGCAGCAGCAAGTGCTGGTGCGGACTTGGAGCAATGGGAACTCTCATTCATTGCTGGAGGGAATGAATGTAAAATGGGACAGCCATTTGGGAAGATGGTGTGAAGGTTTCTCACAAAAATGAACATGCTTTTACCATATGATCCAGCAATCCACTCCTTGGTACTTACCCAAAGTTGAAAACTTATGTCCACACAAAAACCTGCACAAGGATGTTTAAAGCAGCTTTATTAATAACTGTCAAAGCCTAGAAGCCACCAAGAGGTCCTTCAGTAGGTGAATGAAGAAACACACTGTGGTACATCTATATTATGGAAAAGTATTCAGCACTAAAATGAAATTATCTATAAAGCCATGAAAAGACATGGAGCAACCTTAAGTACATATGACTCAGTGGAAGACATCAAGCCTGAAAAGGCTACAAATTGTATGATTCCACTATAAGACATTCTGGAAAAGGTAAAACTATGGAGACAGTAAGAAGATCAGTGGTTGCCGGGAGCTGAAGGTGGCAGAGAGAGGCACAGGCAGAACACACAGGATTTTTAGGACAGTGGAAATACTTTGTACTATACCATAGGGTAGATACATGTTATTCATGTTATTGCACATTTGCCCAAACCCATATCATGTACAACGTCAAGAGTGAACACTATTGGACTACAGGTGATAATAATGAGCCCATGTAGGTTCATTAATCCTAACAAAGGTATCACTTTGGTACAGGGATCTTGATGATGGGAGAAATTCTGTGGGAGCAGGAGCTCTATGGGAAATCTCTGTACCTTCTTCTCAGTTTTGCCATCCTAAAATGGCAAAAAAAAAAAAATAATAATGCCCTTAAAAAAAATAAAGTCTGAAATAAAAATAAAAGCAATAGGAAAAAAAAAAAAAAAAGATTGAGGAGGAACTCATTTACAGTTCCAATATTGAAACCCAGACATTAACGGCTTGGCACTCTTTCAGCATTTTTCTTTTCGTCGGTTTTATACTTTATATAGGTATAATGATTTCTTTTTCAATTTGTGAAATTGTAAAAATAGTTATGCCCTTTGAAAAATATTTAAATTTACGGAAATGTGTAAGTAAAAAAGGAATACACATTTAAATGGGACCGTACATATGTATTTCTTTTACATTTGGTAGAAAATAACTATGCATTTTATAGAAACATGTGCTATACACTTCCCATGCTAAAATATAAGAGATTATATCCCTTCTAGCCCATTATGACACAAAACAAGTGTTATTAAAGCACCTACTTCCTTTTCCAACATCAGGCCTTCTGCTCGGAGGTTCTTTTCAAATGTGTTTCTTTTGTCATATTGTATATTTGACTTCCTGTAAACCAGGATGTAATCAATCCGTTTTTTGCCATCTTTAAATAGAAGTCCACTGGATGCTATGTAATTCATGTCATTCTGCAAATAAAACAATGCTTGTTAATAGTGTAGGTTAGACAAGCACACACATTTTGGTTTCAGTCACTTTGGTTTGGATACAGGCAATCCAAAAGCAAAGAAAAAAATGTGTTGTTTTACATTCCAGTTATAAGACATGGAAAGATGATTAAAGAAAGTTGCAATCTATAATAGGAGACAAGCTAACAAGTGATGTTCCAGAATTTGAAATTACATAGTCTCATACCAGAAACTGGTTCTCTGATGTTGGCATCAGAATGTGTATGTTTTATTCAATAAGGTCCTATAAAAATAATATCAGCTAGCATATGTTGCATATTTATTCAACATCAGTCTCAGACATAAGTGCCTTACATGTTTGATCTTATTTAATACTTACAACTCCCATTTCAAAAATAAAGGCACGAAGTCTTAACATAAGTACTGAAGCCAACATAGCTTCCAATATTAAATAATACTTAGAATAGATACTATTTTCTAAACCTATGTTCAACAACACTAAACCAAACAATTCCTGAGCTGCTTGCTCCCCAAATACTTGTTCACAGGATATAAATCCGTGAGCCAACTGAAAGAGCTTACTTACCAAGACTAATCACTTTCTCATCAAAATTGCTTTAAGGCCCTCCCCTTGCTGCGCCCATCCACCCACACTATTTTTTTATAGACTGGCCAATTTTCCACCAAATTCCTGCCTTGCAAGACTTACCTGACCTGCCAGCTGAGGCGCCTGAGTGATCCGCCACATTACAAATGACATCACATAACTCCTCTCCCCAAGACCCTTACCCCAGTCTATTTTTCTTGGCACTTACTAACTTCTACCATGTTATATAACACTAAACAATATATTATCTTTTGTTTGCTGTCTGCCTTGTCCTACTAGAGTAAAAACTGTATCAAGGTAAGGTTTTTTTTTTTTTTTCATCATTTTGCCTCAGAGTATTCCAGACATCTAATCCAGTATCAGATACATAGTAGGCATCAATAAGTATTTGTGGGAGGAACAAAGGAAGGCAGGAAATATCCATAATCCTGTGTATCCAGGTAAGGCTGACCTCAAGGATATAAGGCCAAGAAGAAATCGTGTTTTCATTTCTCATCCTCTCCCCTCCAATACTTAAAACAACTAAAATTATTACAGGTTAAGATAATCGCAAAATTACAGCAGAACTGCAATAAGCATGGTGTGCCCTTTGCTTTATACCCACTTCGTTTATGACCCACTGTCTCCAGACATCTTTGTATTAATTTAAACAAGGACTGGGTTAATACAAAATCATATACAAATTTTCTTCTACATTTTCCTTTGCTTGAAGTATACCATCCACTCCAGTCCATTATTAAGGGTCATCTGAGTCTTAGGGTACTAATAACATATTTAATCCCAGGTGAAGGCAAAAGTCCTTCAGTGAGAAAACCTAGAAGTAAATGAATGGTTGGTAGGAAAAATAAAAGAAAATAAGATAGTTTTTTATTTCATTTTACGTGCTTTTCATATTTTTTTATTTTTTTAAGATTTTATTTATTTTAGAGAGAATGAAACAATTGCAAGGGAGAGGGATCACAGAGGCAGAAGGAGAAGCAGACTCGCCGCTGAGCAGAGATCCTGATGCGGGGCTGGATCCCAGGACCTGAGATCATGACCCAACAGGAGGCAGATGCCCAAATGATCAGGCCACCCAGGCGTCACCGTGCTTTTCATATTTTAAAAGCAGCATGGACTGAAAGTGGAACCCTGTCAGATACTGTTACCCATTGTTCTAAGTCTAAGCAAAACAAACGTTCAACTCTCCCAGAGAAACAGCTGCCTTACTCTCAAATAAAATCAATATTTTTTTTGTTGTTTTTACAATAAGTGACGTTAAGCATTATTCACAGCTTTTGTTTCTGAGTGAATGTGTTCTCAGTCAAACTATATTAACTAGAATTCTAATTTATTATCTAATTATTCTATGACTTCTAAATTATTAATGATGAGTTTCATTCAGGCCAAATGAAAAATAGTGATCAAAATGGTAATAGATAAGCATGGAGAAATTTGGAAATCTCTTCTGAATCTTTTAAAAAATGTTGTATAGGGGTGCCTGGGTGGTTCTGTCGGTTAAGACTCTGGCTCTTTATTTCAGCTCAGGTCATGCTTTCAGGGTCTTGAGATCAAGCCTTGCATTAGGCTGTAGGCTCAGCATGATGTCTACTTATTCTCTCTTTTCCTCTCCTGCCCCTGCCGCCCCGTGCTCTCTCTCTCAATCCATCTAAAAAATAAAAATAAATAAAAAATAAATCTTTTAAAAAATTGTATAGCTTCTATATAATTCTAAGGCTACAGGCATTATATTTTATTTTAATAGATATATGGCAAACATTAACCAATATATTGATTAATCATGTTCAAACCTTAAAAAGCAGAACTGGCAGGAAATTCATTCCATATATCATTGTATCTAGACACCAAAAGAACAACTTCTTTAATTGTTTGATATAATAATGTTCGTTCGAACATGAAATCAAGACTCATCTCTTAAATTATGTGGAATAGTGAAATGTCTTTCAATTACAATATAGATGCATTTAATTTAGAAACAATTTTCATGTTTAAGAATCCCAGAAGACAGAATAAAACTAGTTTTGCTCAGAATAGCTGGGATGCTGATCATCCATCAGGTACCTTATCTTTTAACAGTTCTGAAAACAACTTAATTATTTAATGCATTACAAACCACAAAGCTCAGGTACTTTCCAAAAAGCTGGCCTCTCTAAAGAATATTTCGACAATATGCATGTTACGGCTCATGCTGAGAAAGAATCCTTTGCAAAGATTTTAGCACATTTTCAAGTAGCAACAGAAGTCTGTATTTGCATGAAAATGCATTTTAGGGTATTTTTCAAATAAAATTATGGTAGTAACTGCCTGTCTGTGAGATGCATATATTTTTCAGTATTTGTTCTTTTCAAGCTAACAAGAACTTATTGAACACCTAATATATGCTAGGTATCGTGTTAAACCTGGGGGATAAATGTAAGAGGACACAGAAGACTTTCAGGAAATTTAGCATACATCTGGAGTGGTAGGCATGTGGACGTTTAGTTACAATGCTATCTAACATGTGCAGGAGTAGAGGCCTGAGCTATGGGGTTGAAGAACGTCAGGGTGTATGAGAGGAAGATGGATTAACACGTGCCAGGAGCCAGTAAGGGTCATGTTGTCTTGGTGAATTTATCACAGTCCTCTGTCAGGCAGATATGAAATTAGGTCAGGTCATTAATCTGCAAGTGATTGCTGACTGATTACATGGTTACCATACTTTTGAGTTAGTATAATTCAGTATGATATGCTGGTTACGGTACTGGTATCTGTATCAGACAGATTGGGGTTTTAATTAATTGTGTTCTTAGGTAACTTAATCTCACCTCTCAGCTTCAATTCACAGAGCTTTTCAGGGAAGATAACAGTATTATCAACATTGTACGATTATTGTTATGACTAAATGAGGTAATGCACACAGGCTACTCTCAATGTTGTCTGACCTTTTGATATTAAAAAAAGTCAGCTATTATCACAAAAAATAAGGTAAAATATGTATGCAATGTATTAATTTGTTTTGGGATCTGTCTTGTTTTCTGATTATCCAAATGACTCTTTCTAATTTTTTGGAAAATTATCTTCTTCAGGACAAAAACAGATGGAAACATAGATAAGTAATCCAAAGGATGTTGGTGTGGATATAGAATCAGAGCAAAGGAAAGCAGGTATCCTTTGCATATACTTGTGAAACAGCATTTATAAAACAAAAAGTGCAATAAACAAATGCATAACAGTGAATTATTACAAGAAAAATACCTGTATAATTACTAAGTCAAGAAACAGAACCCCCCATCTCCTTCAGAAGCCTCCTTACATCATCTTTCTTAGTTGTGATGTCCTCCCTCTTTATGCCCCTCCCTAGAAGGTAGTCATAATCCTATTGTTTATGAAACTAATTTCTTGCCTTTCCTTAGTTTTATTATCAAGGAACATATCCTTAAACACTATATTTTAGTTCTGTCTCTTTTCGAACTTTGTGTAAATGCAAATATAAAATGAATAAACTTTTTTGTCTGGCTTCTTTCCTGTTACATTATGGGTGCGCAACATATCTCCAATTTTCTTGCATTTGTAGTTCGTCTTTTTTCACTGTTATATTATTGTATAAATACAAAAAAAACCTTATTTATGTTTTCTCTTAACAACTGCTATTCAGGCTGTTTCCAGTCTTGGCTATTAAAAATAAAGCTATAATAAACATTCATGTGTATATCTTGCAATACACATATGCATACATTTCTATCAGTATGTACCTAGGAGAAAAATCGTTGATTCACAAGAAAAATTTGCTTTCAACCCCTCAGTATGCCACACAACTCAGAATGGAGCCCATGTGTACAGAGTCTAATGCAATTTCTGATGTCTTTTAAGATTTTATGGAACATGGATGGTTTTGAATCTTCTTGATTATTGAGTCCCGGTCTTAGTAAGTTACTAAGTAACTTAGTAAGTTACTGGTCTCTACTAAGTTACTTTTGCTTAAAAATGGACTTGTTTTGCCATACTATGTGGCATGAAAACCTATAGTATGCATAGGTTTCAAGGGCTGTCAATATCTACTCCCACCTCCTATAGTCCTTTTATCCAAATTTTGCTATTCAGAATGCAATCAGTTATTGTCATGCCCTCTTCCTGGGTATTTCTGTTTCTGTTTGGATTTAGAGAGAGAGAGAGAGAGAGAGGGACATGTGGGCAAGGCATGACTCTGGCTCAGAAAACTGGTGTTTTTAAGGGCAGTGGATGCTCAGTTTCCTTCGCTGTGTGGCCCTTGCAATCCAACATTTCAGATCAATGATGGGCCAGGCTAGCCCAACTCTCCACTGTGATTTGGGTAGCCATTAGGCTGGTTTCAGCTCTTAAGGCCAAGTGTCTGTGTTTCATGCTTGTGCTTCTTAATCTTTTCCAAAACTTCAAA